TCAGCAGCCTCAGGGGTTGAGATGCAGTCATCTGTATCTCCACACTTTTGCATAACCGCCCTGCAAATTTATATGGTTTTCTTGATTGTTATATTTAGACATCTTATGTTAATTTGCAATTGTTCATGGCAATACTAAATTAAACCTATTACAAGAAATATATACCTCAGGATGACATTGCAATTGTTTACAAATACCAAAGATCCAGGATGATTGAGTCTGAATGCATCTCCAGCAGCCTCTTCATACTCGATAGCCCATTTTGTTACAGAAACACCTGAATAAATAAATACATAAGTAACCATGTCACAGGTACATAAATTATAAACCTCTCCATCATACACACACACACACACACACACACACACACACATATATATATATATATATATATATATATATATATATTACCAGAATGCTCTAGTCCCTCAGATAAGCCACCACAGCCAGCAAAAATATCTAATGTAGTCAAGCGTTGTCCCTGAGATTCTTCTTTGAGTTTTACAACTTCTGAATCAACCTCGCCTTCTTTGCATTTCCCCTTACTCTTCCTAGATTTAGTATCATCATTCAACTGCTCTGTTGAATACTTAATCTTGATATTTGACGGCAACTACATGCACAGGAATTGGATATTGATTAGACAATAAATGGTTAGAAATCAAGTAAAGAAAAATAGTCAACTTATAGCATACAACAAAAACATTACCTTCTTAAGAGATCCTCTAGAAGGATCGTACATATATTCACAAAAGAAAGCATGGTCATATGTAAAAGTGACATCTTGAGATCCGAGATCTTTCTTTTTTCTGATCTCGCACTTTCCTTCAATCACTTCAACTGGTATCGTATGCATCTCCTCACTATAATAGACCTGGAAAAATGAAGAGAATCTGGATAAGAGTGACCTAAGTATAGATCAAACTTATATATTGTTGGCCGGCTCAAAATTACAAACAAAAGTTCAATATATTTTTATAGTGATCGACATTGATTAAAGACAACGTACAATAGAATGTTCTAATATGAAATGCTAGCTATTACCTCCCTTATATCCGATGAGTAGGCCTTCTCAGATGATATGTCCTCTGGCCTGAAAAATCTTCTGACCTTGACCTCCACTGAACTGGCATCACTCTGTTTGCGATGCTTAACATCACAAATTTCAAGCAGCTGGCATATAGCATATGCCTTTAGTCCTACATTCCTCCCGGACTTGAAAATTTCAGCTTCTCTTTCTGAACAAAAGTAGTAAGGACTCAAGTAGACATAGTCGTCAATAGAATATTTAGTTCCTCCGTACATGAAACTTGTCAGTGATGTATCCAATTCAAACTTTTCCTTGTTATCATTAGCTTCCTTTGCTCGGCAAGCCCCACACAAGCCGGATCCAAGTCCCATCGACCCATATGGAAGGGTAAAGAATGCACCTCTCTCTGGCCAATACAGGCTTTTGCAGTAATACTCAGTAGGCAGCCCCTTCTTCTTCCTTTCTTCTGCTCTTGCTCGATCAACTTTATCAGCATCTGCATTTGCTTTCCTGTGCTGATGACCCCAAGGAATTGATCTTATTTCAACACTTATACTCTGCCTGACTTCTTCCAGTAGGAAGTCCTCACATTCATTTGTCAAAAATACCTCCCTTTCGTTTGCAGCATTTCCAAGCACAGTTTGGCAGCCTCGTAGCATCATTCTCCCATGTAACATTTTCTTCCCATCCAACTTTTCAAACAAGTATTCAACAAAATAAATTGTTGGGAATTCATCTGATTCATCATTTTGCACAAGAACAGCCCCACCAGCTGCAATTTCATCGCCATGGACTATTGCCTTTCTATATAAAGACTCACCGGTAGATAATTTTCCCTCAGATTTCGCATCCCACTTTACTTCTTTGCTACCTGAACGGGACTTTGTCTGCCTTGGCAAGGGACTAGGTGTCTGAGTTTTCTCCTGTTCTAACAATTTCTTCTCAAGAGTATCATCCTCCTCGTTGTCCTCCTGCTCTTCGTTATCTTCATTTTCTTTTACTTCACATTGGGTTCCTTCATTTGATTCCTCAGGCGAGTAATTGGAATAATACTCACCCCATATTCTGTTGATTAGCCTCGTTGTAGTTGCCTGCATAGCCTTCCTTTTGGACACAACAGGCACAATAGCGGCCCTTGGATTCAAGTTTTGTTCATCCCTCTCCAGGAACTTCTTTTTCTTGACAAGCCATTTCGTGTGGTGTTTCTCTTCCATTTTCTGGGTGAGTCCAATCACAAATGGGCACTTTTTTATGTTCTTATCAGGATACTCTGAGAACTGCTGCAGAATAATCTGGCCATGCACAACCACATATCTTTCTACCAGCACTGAGTTGGATGATATAAAAGCTGGATTGTCTTTGTTAAAATCAGAGATTCTCTTGATAACATCCGCGAAAGAGAGTCTTGCCACACGAATCTGCTCTTTCAGCAAAGTAATGATACTTATTGCAAGCCTTGCTGTTTTCAGGACTTGCTCATACCATGGAGCATATTGCTTTGAAGGTTTACCAAGCCTATACCTGAAAAATGCAAGGAAAAAACATTATGCATGGAAAAAGCTTTATATATCTCCAGGCAAAGTGAACCTGGAAGTACATAGCAATCACTGGCTAAGCACAACGAATTGATACAGCTCTCGTACAATCTACTATGATTCGAATTTTTTGCTGGTACATAGAATATTACAGTATATGCTTTCTGCAACTGCTTCCAGCACGTAATTATATTCCAG